GTCTGGACTGACCACCGTAACCTGGAGTACAGCTGGGCAGCGAGGAGGCTGAACCCTCGCCAGGCCAGGTGGGCCTTGTTCTTCACCCGGTTTGATTTCATGCTGTTCTATATACCAGGCACTAAGAACATGAAGGCAGACGCACTGTCATGGCTGTACGACACAGAGGAGAGGCCCCCTATACTCCCCCTCCTCTGGTCACCCAGGCATCGGCCGTACAGTGCACTGCCTTACTGGGAAGTACTGGTGGCCTACCTTGGCTAAGGATGTGAGGCTGCATGTCTCCTCCTGCTCGGTTTGCGCCCAGAGTAAGGCACCTAGGCACCCTCCAGCGGGTAAGTTACATCCCTTACCAGTTCCACAATGGCCATGGTCCCACTTATCGATTGATTTTCGAACTGATCTTCCCCTCTATCAGGGTAACACCACCATCCTAATCGTTGTGGACCGCTTTTCTAAAGCCTACCGCCACTTTTCCTCTGCCAGTTCTCACCCCCGGCTCTGCAAACTGCGGAAGCCCTTTTTACTCACGTCTTCCGGAACTACGGGATGCCAGAGGACATAGTGTCTGACCGGGGTCCCCAGTTTCAGTCTGATCTCTGGGTTTCACCCCAAATCTAATGGGCAGGTGGAACGGGTGAATCAGGATGTGGGTAGGTTTCTGTGGTCATACTGCCAGGACCGGCCGGGGGAGTGGTCGGTGTTCTTGCCATGGGCCGAATATGCCCAGAACTCTCTCCGCCAATCCTCCACTAACATGTCACCATTTCAATGTGTTTTAGGGTATCAGCCGGTCCTGGCACCGTGGCATCAGAGCCAGACCGAAGTTCTTGCGGTGGGTGACTGGTTTCAGCACGCGGAGGAGACGTGGAACGCCGCCCACGTCCACCTCCAGTGCGCAATGCATTGCCAGAAGTCCAACGCTGACTGCCACTGCAGTGAGGCCTCGGTCTTTGTACCGGGTGATCGGGTCTGGCTCTCGACCCTCCACATGCCCCTCCACCTGCCCTGCCTGAAGCTGGGCCCGCTGTTTGTGGGGCCGCTCAAAGTCCTGAGGAGTGTGAACGAGGTAACGTATAGGTTGCTGCTCCCTCCTGATTACCATATTAACCCCTCGTTTCACGTGTCTCTCCTTAGGCCGGTGGTGGCAGGTGCGGGCGGGGGGCCTTCAGTCGGGCGGGCGGGGGGGGGCTTCAGTACCTTGTGGAGAGGGGTACGGTCATAAGGAGCGGTGCTGGGTCCCGGTGAAGGATGTCCTCGATCCCTCCCTGTTGCGGGACTTCCACCATCGCCATCCGGATTGCCCTAACCTGCATCCTCCTGGCGGTCCACGGGGCCGGTGTCGGTGCGCTGCTGGAGCTGCGTGTCAAGGGGGGGGGGGGGGGGTACTGTCATGACTCCCTCCGAAGCTGCCTCATCTCCTTGTTTGGGCAGGCTTCGGCGTTCGTCGTCACCGGCCATGTAGCCACTGTTGCTCCTCTTTTCCTCATTCCATTAGTTTTGTCTTGTTTTTCACACACACCTGGTACATATCCCCTCATCAGTCTCTGTATAATTATTCCCTCTGCTCCCCCATGTCTTTGTGTATTATTGTTCCATGTGGAGGTGTTGCTAGCTCGTGTTGAGCATTATGTTAATTTTATCGCTGGTATATTCACCTGTGTTTTTTATTTTTCCAGTACACATTTAAGTCGCACTGTATTTGGTTTACATATTGCTGCGGACTGCTGTATTGGCCAAATAAACTCTATTATTTGATTCACACCTCCTGCGGCTGGCTCCGTCCTACTCACCTTGTTACAGGCAGATACGCGGCTCTTCCTCTCTGCTACAGTTCAAAAACCCTAGTTGCCTAACTCGCTAAAGAAACCTAAGATTTAGAAGCGAAGCAAATAGCCTAAACATTGATAAAACAATTAAAATACACAGACAGCCCCCAACTTCACCTTTAACAGATTCATTAGGATTATTTAGCATTCATGCATTCATTCAATGTTTTATTGTAATACATGATGACTTGTGTTTAATAAAAGGCACTGTATAAATGTCTAGCAGCTGGCTATTGCCTTACATATATGTTATAAAAGTCAATCTAATGGCTTGTTAGGCTATATTCCAAGTAGACTAGAGTCTAAATGTTCCCCCGAATCACCCCATCCCTAATTAGCCTACTATTTCATACAATATACAGAAAACATATTAGGCCTAACTGGCATTAGTAGGCTACATGATCTGTGTTAGTGTGCGTGAGTGTCTCTGTTTTCTTCCTACTTCGACTGCACCACTGTCCTCTGCAGCACTCGGACCAGCAGAACCAGAATTCTTAGCAAATACATCGGTTAATTTAGCAGCGTCGGCTTTATGAGACCTTTTTTGGGTCTCTAACTTTTTAGGCACCACCTTTCGTTTTTATGATCCTGTTCTGACTAAGTGACTGACAGAGTCAGAGCGGGTTGCACTCTCTTTGATGATGCGCGTTTGACTTTGAATGTGAATTTACGACACCTCAGCTCAGCCAATCAGAAAACCGGGCTGGCCCATCTTGGTAAGGGGGCCAGCCTTTGCCCACTGGTCAGCCAAATGCTCAACAGATAAAATGCGCAAAATTATTATTTTTTTAAACAGGCTCATGGGCTGCCAGCCGTGTACAAAAAGTAAAAAAATATATTCAATTTCGACAAGCGCACCCCAATAAAAGATGGTCCGGCCCTTCTGGTATTTGCCAGAATTGCCAGACGGCCAATCGTCCCATGCATCACCTTCCCTGAAACTCCCACTGTTTATTTGATACGTAATAACTGTGACGCCTACAGGCACAGTGATGTCCGGATCTTGTGTTCTACAGTCCCCAACCCCCTAACCCTAACTTCTAACCTAACTTGTTCCGAAGCCACTCCTGCGTTGTCTTGGCTGTGTGCTTAGGGTCGTTGTCCTATTGGAAGGTAAACCTTAACCCCAGTCTGAGGTCCTGAGCGCTCTAGAGAAGGTTTTCATCAAGGATCTCTCTGTACTTTACTCCATTCATCTTTCCCTCGATCGTGACTAGTCTCCCAGTCCATACCGCTGAAAAACATCACCACAGCATGATGCTGCCACCACCATACTTCACCGTAGGGATGGTGCCAGGTTTCCTCCAGACGTGACGCTTGGCTTTCAGGCTAAAGAGTTCAATCTTGGTTTCATCAGACCAGAGAATCTTGTTTCTCATGGTCTAGAGTCTTTAGGTGCCTTTTGGCAAACTCCAAGTGGGCTGTCATGTGCCTTTTACTGAGGAGTGGCTTCTGACTGGCCACTCTACCATAAAGGCCTGATTGGTAGAGTGCTGCAGAGATGATTGTCCTTCTGGAAGGTTCTCCCATTTCCACAGAGAAACTCTGGAGCTCTGTCAGAGTGACCATCGGGTTCTTGGTCACCTCTCTAGGAAGAGTCTTGGTGGTTCCAAACTTCTTCCATTTAAGAATGATGGAGGCCACTGTGTTCTTGGGGACCTTCAATGCTGCAGACATTTTTTGGTAACCTTCCCCAGATCTCGTCGACACAATCCTTTCTCGGAGCTCTATGGACAATTCCTACGACCTCATGGCTTGGATTTTGCTCTGACGTGCACTGTCAACTGTGGGACCTTATATAGACAGATGTGTGCCTTTCCAAATCATGTCCAATCAATTGAATTTACCACAGGTGGACTCCAATCAAGTTGAAGAAATATCTCAAGGATGATCAATGGAAACAGGATGCACCTGAGCTGAATTTCGAGTCTCAAGGCAAAGGGTCTAAATACTTATGTAAATAAGGTTTTTCTGTTTTAGTTTTAATACTTTTGCAAACATTCTAAAAACCTGTTTTTGCTTTGTCATTATGAGGTATTGTGTGTAGATTGATGAGGATTTTTATTTATTTAATCCATTTTAGAATAAGGTTATAATGTAACAAAATGTGGAGAAAGTCAAGGGGTCTGAATACTTTCCGAAGGCACTGTGCATTCTACGATATGTTGTTGAAATGTTGAAGCTTCTTATGATAGCCTACTTCAAAACCAAATGGTACGTAGTCACAAAAGTAGATGGGGTGTATTTTTAACAAAAAATGAATGGAGCGAATTTGGAGCCCTGAGAGATTTTTAGGGGAGGGGGGAAAGGATGTTGAGTGCCAGAGCAGTGTGCAAAGACCACTCTGTAAACAATGAGTGGGATTTCCAACAGCTCAACTCCACTCACATACAGATATGGTCTGAGTAGGGATGGGGAAAACTGAAAATTAGCTGTTATTGGCAGAGAGGTTTGGAACTCTCTTTCTTATTGGTCTATTTTACTGCATGGTGATGTCACCATGGAAGGCCAAAACTTCATGTTCAAGTTTGGGATGGAAAGTAATCACATCTAAAGGAGACTATTTTCTGTATGATTGTTTTGGAAAAATATAAAGTTCCTTGTAGGGTTGGCCACCCGTCTCCGTTTCCATGCATTATATTACCCCGAAGTGCTGTCCCCGACGCACGCACCAGTGGGAGAGCCCTCCGCCTGACGTCATGATCATGATCAAGATAAGCCTGGAGCTATATCACGGAGGCGAATGGTTTACGCTATAAAAAAGACTGTTACAGCCGAGAGGGATTCTTGTCGGAGCACAGAAGCAATTGCAAAGGGCGAAGAAATAGTCGTGATAGAACCGTTGGCACCAGCAGAGCCCAGCGCTCAACCCTTAGATATGCTCCTTGAGCCCTCTCCTGTCTCTCTTTATCTCTGTGTGTCAATTAATTTGTGCGCTCCAAGTCAAGTCAGATCGCACTCCATTGAAATGCGAGCATCAGAATAAAGACAGCGCACCTTCGATAGAGTGGACAGAGACGCTGTGTGTGACAGTGTCAGACAGCGAGCAGGGGACAGAAGAGGAGCACCAGCCTGCGCAGGATGTGTTTGGAAAGCAGCTAAAACCGAGACAAATCATCGGGGACAGCCTCTGGAGTCGCCTATAGTCTGGGGACAGAAACCTAAAATAAAATGGGCGCTGGCAGCGTGGACCTACTGGTCACTCTCCAGATCCTGCCCGGTTTCTTCTCCAACTGTTTGTTCCTTGCGCTCTACGACTCGGTGGTTCTGGTGAAGCGCCTAGTGTCCTTACTGAGCTGCTCGGGCGGCGGCGGGGGAGAGTGGCAGCGCATGCTGACCTCCGCAGGGCTCCGGTCCATATGGAACAGCTTCCTGCTGGATGCATATAAACAGGTAATGAACCATGTTGTATTGTCATACATATAAACTCACTGCAGGCTACGCTGTAGTTAGAGTTATACTGTGAGTTGTAGGAACTTGTATTGTGGTATTGTATGCGCAACTCACCCACAGGTCTTGGGCATTGTGCCGGCAAAATAGTGTACTCTAAAAGAGTCAGAATGGCATCATGCATAAAAGTTGGTCAAAACCGCTTGAGCACACAACCTGGTCTCAGAGAATTTCGCATTATTCTTTATGTAATTGGGTCAAACTCTTTTTAGTATGATATGTTACGTTTCATATTGGTATGCATTAATTTTTGGATGTCCATCACCCATTTCGTATGATATGTTACGAATTACAATTCGTATTATATGTTACGAATTTGCAAAATGTACAATATTGTAATGACCTGGCTAGATCATAAATGATCAAATGTCCAGACAGAGGTTTGAGTTTACGAATTCCCGGTTTATTAACCAAACTCAACACAGGCTACAGTTTGGCCGTAGCCCACACCAAATAAATCAAGGATAACCGTAAAAAACAACGGTGACCATCTCTTGTTAAGACCAGACGTAAGAGAGAGAACAATGGCTAAGCATGGTCTTAAATTTGCGATGCTTCCACCCTGCCGCCGCTCCACCAACCACCAGGATGCCCGGAACCAGAACATTCCAGGCATTCCCGTGGTTGGCAGACAGCAGGTTTGACTGGCATGTTGGACCCAGCGAACACTAGGTACTGGTAAGTACAACACAACCAACGAACAGCATAACACATAATACACAGCTGTCTGTGCGGGTCGTTACACAGCCCCCCCACCACAAAGTCCCTCATCCCAGAGGGAACAAACAAAGGCTGTGATGGTCGCAGAGTGTCCAGATGTGGAACAGGGGGCTCAGTCTGTGGCAGGGGGCTGCCCCTCTGGTGCCCAGGGGATGAAGGCAGGGACATGGGGTCAAGGATGAGGGAACGTGGAATACATTCCCTGGCTCCGGGGAACCACGCAGTGACACAAGGAGGGAGTCTGGGTGAGTGGGCTGTCTTGAGCCTTGTCTGCGGCACCTGGGGGTTGGTGCTTGGGGAATGTCATTGCCAGAGAGGGGAATTGTGGGGGTCCCTGGGGTTTGGGGAGAAGAGGCCCCTCTGTAGGGGGCTAACCTGTCCTGGTGCAGTGCCTCCTTTCTACCCCTGGGAGAAATCTTCACCCAGTACACAACCTCCCCTACCCTCTCCAGGACGCTGCAGGGCCCCACCCAGTGGCTGTCCAACTTGGGGCATCTGCCTTTCTTTCTCAGGGGGCTGTAGACCCAGACCAGCTCCCCAGCCACAAAGTGCCTTCCCCGGGTGTGCATGTCATAATTTCTCTTCTGCCTCACCCCTGCATTCACCAGCTGCTCTCTGGCGAAGGTGTGGGTTGTCTCCGGGCATACTCTGGCCCCGGGGGAACAGGAGGGCTATCCAGGGGCCAACCAAACGCCATCTCTGCAGGGGTGTGGATCTCTTGAGGAGGGCAGGTGCAGGGGTGCGGATCGCTTGAGGAGGGCAGGCGTGCAGGAGGTGGAATCTTGGACAGCGGAGCGGCATGCCATGAGGACCATGGGCAGGTGCTTGTCCCAGTCACGCTGGTGTTTATCAGAGAATATGGCCAGCTGCTGTCCAAGCGTTTTGTTGAAGCGCTCCACAAGGCCATCACTTTGAGGGTGGAGAGGAGTAGTGCGGGTCTTGTGCACACCCAGCCTCTCACACATGGTGGCGAACACACATGACTCAAAGTTTCTGCCTTGGATGCTGTGGATGGACTCCGCAGCTCCAAACCTGCTGAACATCCCTGCTGTCAGGGCGCCAACAATGGTTTCTGCCTCCTGGTCAGGCAGAGCAAAGGCCTTGGGCCATATTGTGAAATAGTCCATGGCCGTGATTACCCAGCGGTTTCCACTGTCCACTCCCACCCTCTCCATGGGAGCCCCAACTGGGACTGTTGGAGCTGAGCATGAGAACGGCCTGGAGGGCCCTTTCTCGCTGTGCAGTTGTCACAGCGGCGGCAAAAGCCCTCCACACCCCTCTTGTGCTGCCCCCAGTTAAAGCCCTGACGGAGGCGGCAGAGGGCTTTTGTGACCCCAAAGTGTCCAGTCCCCAACCCCCCATGAGTGCTTTGGCGCACAGCCTCCCGCAGTGCTTTTGGGACCACCACCTGCCACCTCTCTTCTCCCGTAGCTGGCTCTTTCCATGCCCGCTGTAGCACGCCATCTGCCAGCCGCAGTCTCTCAAACTTTGACCACAACCCTTTGGGCGCGAGTGAGAGCGCTGCCACCTCTTCCTACGGTGGCCTCAGCTGTGCCTCTACCCACTGGAGCACTGGCTGTAGGTCTGTTTCCCACACCTGCTGCTGCCCCCATTCAGCCATTCTGCAGCTCACAGCAGACAGGCCCGCTCGCCCAACACACTGTGGCACAGACCCCCTCCTCCGCACACAGCTCTCTCTCACGGCCCTCTCGCCGCTTACAGTGGCGGCACCCGTCTGCAGTACATGGCCGACGGGACATGGTATCGGCGTTGGAGTGGCGTGTCCCTGCCCTGTGCACCACTGTGAAGTCGTACGGCTGAAGCTCCTCCAACCAGCGTGCAACCTGCCCCTCTGGCTCTTTGAAAGACATGAGCCACTGGAGAGCAGAGTGGTCAGTCCTTATAGTAAAAGGCAGGCCACCCAGGTAGTACTTGAAGTGTTTGATGGAAGCCACAACAGCGAGGAGCTCCCGCCGGGTGACACGCTCATGTTTGTTGAATGTTTTACTGAAGTGCGCCACCACTCTCTTCCCCTCTGGCCCCACCTGGGCCAGAACCCCACCCATGCCCATATTGTCAGCGTCTGTGTCCAGGATAAAGGGCAAGTTGAGGTCAGGGGGGCCTCAATCAGTGCACGTTTGAGGGTGTTGAAGGACTCCTCGCACTCCACTGTCCAAGTAAAGGCCTTGTTCTTTGGCAGCAGGCGGTTCAGGGGAGCAGCGACGTTTGGGAAGCCCCGTACAAACCTCCTGTATTTCGAGGCCAGGCCCAGGAACCTCTTCAGCTGATGCTGGTCAGTGGGGGTGGGCCAGTCTCGGACAGCCCCACTTTGTCCTCCATGGTGCTGATGCCTTCCTCCCCCTCTTGGTGGCCCAAGAAGGACATCTCTCTCCTCATGAAGTGGCACTTCTCAGAGTGGAGCTTCAGGCCTGCGGCAGACACCCTCTCCAGCACACGCCGTAGCGCCCCCAGGGCTGACTGGAAGGAGCTGCCATGGGCTAGGATGTCGTCGAGGTATACCAGACACTCCAGTCGGGGGATGCCATCCAGCACCCTGTCCATCAAATGCTCAAAAGTAGCTGGAGTGTTGCACAGGCCGAAGCACAGGACCTTGAACTGCCAATGTCCTCTGTTAGTGGAGAACACAGTTTTGGCTCTGGCCTCTGGGGAGAGGGGCACCTGCCAGTAGCCACTGCGGAGGTCTAGTGAGGAGAACCAGGAGGACCCCTAACCAGGTCCAGCGACTCATCAATGAGTGGTATGGGGTATGAGTCCTTCCTGGTTACCTCATTCAGCCGCCTGTAGTCCGCACAGAACCTCAGCTTGCCCCCCTTCTTAGGAACCATGATGACTGGTGCCGCCCAGGGGCTCTCTGAGGGCTCGATGAAGTCTGCCTGCTGCATCTCCAAAACAGCCTTGTCTGCCGCCTCCTGGTGTGCCAGCGGGATACGGCGGGGACGCATCTTGATGGGCCGAGCATCATCTGTGTCGATCTCATGTTGCACCAGATGAGTCTGACCCACCTCTTCCTCACTCAGCGCAAAGCTGTCTCTGAATTCAAACAGCAACTGCCACAACTGTTCCTGCTGCTAGGGGTCAAGACCAACACAGTTCCTCTTCCATATCTCCCTCACTGCAGACAGTGTCCTCTCCTCTCCCATCTGGGCTAGCTGGGCTGGGGGCGGGGGGCGTGGCCAGGGCTCATGGAGGGATGTGTCATGGAGGTAGCTGGGGGAATGTAACACACAACCTTAGGTGACAGAGGGGCTCGGGAAAAGTCACACACAGATGTGGGGGAGGGGGGGAAGACATGAGTCTCTGCTGCTTTAACTGTTGGAGTAAGGGGGTTGTTGGGTTGTGTGAATGTGACATTAGGGGGGGCCATGGTGACTGCCGGCCCTCCCTGGAAGCTCAGTGTGCACCCATTTAGGTCTAACTGTCAGCCTGTGCTCCTAAGAAAGTCTAACCCCAGAATACAAGGGTCCTGCACAACCACCACCCACACAGGATGATGCACAGTCCTGCCCCCTACTGTCAGAGTCATTATTCCCTTCCCTTTTATGGGTGCCAGCTCACCTGTAACTGTGCAGAGCTGCACAGTTGTGGGCTCAAACTGAGTCGAACCTGGCACAACATTCGGCCTCACCAGGGTTACTGTGGACCGAGTGTCCACCAGGGCAGAGCAGGGCACCCCCTCCACTGTGACAGGGACATGACAAAAGTCCCCAACACAGGGCCGGCCCACCACAACAACAGGCTCCATCTGCTTGCACTCGTCTGCTTCTGGGGGACGTGGAGCCTCGCTCCCCTGTCCGTGCCGGTGAGCTCCTCCTGGCGATTGTGGTGGTTGGGAAAGAGAGCCAGGGGTCCGCACTGCCCGGTCTATGCGGACCGAGCCATTTCCCTGAGCTCTGGGGGACATGGGGCAATTCCGGCGCAGATGGCCTGGCTGACCACACCCCCAGCAGACCATGGGACCAGGGCGAGTGTTGCGTGCCACCTGTAGCGACACAGCACTAATAAGTTCAGTCATTTTAGCCACCCATGCAGGTTGGGCCGCTCTGCCCCACAGCCCGCACAGTGGGTGTGTCTCCCTGCACCCCCACAGAAGCCCCAGCTGAAGCCCCAGCCCATACGAGCTCCCTCTCCAAAGCCATCTCCAAGGCTATCTGCAATGACTCAGGATGAGCCAGCTGGGTCTGTATGCGCAGTTCCGTAGAGAGAGCGCCTGTATGAACTTGTCCCGTGCTAGCTCGCTCTGCACGGAGGGGGGCATGCGAGCCCACCGAGAAAGGCTCTTAATGTCATTAGCTAGCACCCGTAGTGGCTCTCCAGGCTGCCTGTGTCTATTACTCAGTTCGGAGCGCAGCAGCACGGGCTGTACACACTGTCCAAAGCACCTCCTCAGTGCTCCAACTAAAGCCCCATTATCGCATCTGTCCTCGGAGCTAATCAATATCAAACAGGACAGAGCATCATCCATGAGGCACAAAGCCAACTGCAGTGCCCTATCTTCATTCGACCACCCCCCAGAATGAGCTGACTGTTCAAATTGAGCATGAAAAGCTTCCCAATCCGTCTTACTGGAGTACTTCGCGGTCTTAACAGATACGGATGCAATCGGGGACTGGGCGCCACCATGTTTGTTTACATCTTGAGCCGCAGCCTCCTTGTCACGCAGCGTCGACGTCACCCCTTCGGTCCGCCCCCCAGAATCTTCGCGAAGCACAGTCGCAGAAGCACCCATTCCGCCTCAGCCGCCATCATTCTAGTGGTCACCCTCAAGCGGCCTCTGTGCGCCGATGCACTGGCGATCTCCTCGGCCAGATCCTCCGACATCCATGCACACGTACCTCCTTGGCCATAATCGTCCCCTACCTCCACCTTCACTTTCGGATTCCCTCTAAGCATTTTCAACCCCCGTTCTCCACGTAACGTTAGCTAGCCACGGTAGTCAGCTAGCTAGCTGGCTAACTTTTATCCACGTTTTAACTTCTGACACAAATGTAATGACCTGGCTAGATCACAAATAAACAAATGTCCAGACAGAGGATTGAATTGACGAATTCCCAGTTTGTTAACCAAACTCAACACAGGCTACTGTCTGGCCGTAGCCCACGCCAAATAAATCAACGATAACCGTATAAAACAACCGTGAACCATCTCTTGTTAAGACCAGAGGTAAGAGAGAGAACAACGTCTAAGCATGGTCTTAAGCTTGCGATGCTCCACCCCCCTGCCAAACCCTCCCCCCAGCCGATCCACCAACCATCAGGATGCCCGGCACCAGAACATTCCAGGCATTACCGTGGTTGGCAGATAACAGGTTGACTGGCATGTCGGACCCCGCAAACACTGGGTACAAGTACGTACAACACAACCAACGAACAGCATTACACATAACACAGAGCTGTCTGTGCAGGTCGCTACAATATGTTACGAATGTGCAAAATGTACAATATGTTACAAACATATGATATGCTACGAATTCTAGCTAGCTGGCTAGGTGGCTAATGTTAGCTAGGCTAGGGGTTAGGGTTAGGGGTAAGGGTTAAGGTTAGGGTCAAGTTTAGGAGTTAGGTTAAAGGGTGCGAGGAAGCGTTATCTAACATGCTAAGTAGTTGCAAAGTAGCTAAAAAGTAGTAAGTAGTTGAAAAGTTGCTAATTGGCTAAAATACTAAAGTTGTCTGTGATGAGATTCAAACTCGCAACCTTTGGGTAGCTAGACTTTCGCATTAAACGCCCACCCCTCCATCCCGACCAACCAACCAACCAACCAACCAACCTACGTTTTTGTCTTAAGTAACCATCTGTCTTATGTAACCATACCAAACATAACATATCATACAAATTTCAGTGTCCCAGATTTATATGTACTATGTTACGTTTAGTCTATGAGACCAGGCTGCAGCACAAAACGATCTAGCTAGGCATGCTTCTCTGTAACTCTTGCCATTACAAAAGCAGTGTATAGTTCATTTTGAAAGGACAATTATACTATTTCTGCATTACTGAATTCTTATCTTGCCATCTGAGACCATGTCCATGGGTCCCCTTGTTTAAATCAGCATGTTGTACTTTGATATCAAATCAAATGTAGGTTATCTGATCTAAAAAGTGATGAACTTTGGCCCCCAGACAGTCAAAACCCTGAGGGCCATTCACCCTCAGTTACTTGGAAATTCAGAGGTCTGGCATCTCCTAAATGTTACATTTTAACTCCCAAACCAAACAGACGCCGGTGTGTCAGTCCCAACCAGACACTAGGCATCAGGCAGGTAGCCAGGTACACGTGAGCTTTTACACAGATTATCTGACACATAGGCATTTTGATAGCCAGGTAAATGTACAGTATGGATTTGCACGTTTTACATGCATGAAACACATGCATCAAGCTAGTTACTAAAGAATGTGGTCGTCTAGTTTTGGGTAATTTGGTAGAGGATTCCCCCACCTCTCCCCTCTGCTCCCTTGTTGATAGTCTGATCCTCTGATGTATTATTGTCACGTTCCTCCTCTCTTTCTCTTACTCCTCTCTCCTTTCTTCCTGCCTCTCTCTCTCACTCCTTCTTTTTCCCTTTCTCATGCCCTCTCTCTCCCCCTCTCCCTGCATCTCTGTCGTTCAGTCCCTGGCTCTCTCTTACTCTGACATCACTCTCTCTCCTCTATCTGTTTCCACCTCTCTTTCTCCTCTCCTTCTCTCTCTCCCCTTCTTCCCTCTCTCTCCTGTCCCATGCTGTGTCTGCGTCTTCTACTCCTACTAAACAATAAATTGTTCTACCTTTTCCTGAACTCTCATGAGTCATGCCTAATCAGTGTTTTAGATCTGTCACGGGGAGGCAAGTTTGCAGTGTTCTAGTGGGGATTGAGATGGGGAGGCATCATGGGGAGGCAAGCACTTCTGTCCAGCACTCTCCATCCCGCTTTGATTATTGACTCTTGGCTTGGTTAATGTACACACACACACACACACACACACACACACACACACACACACACACACACACACACACACACACACACACACACACACACAAACACACACTAGTAAAGCACGGGTTGACTCATAACCCGCAGTCCCCGCAGATATACGGGTGGGTTTTCCCTCTCTCATGCCCTCTCTCTTCCCATCACCCTACCTCTCTGTCGTTCAGTCCCTGGCTCTCTCTTACTCTGGCATCACTCTCTCTCCTCTATCTGTTTCCACCTCTCTTTCTCCTCTCCTTCTCTCTCTCCCCTTCTTCCCTCGCTCTCCTGTCCCATGCTGTGTCTACGTCTTCTACTCCTACTAAACAATAAATTGTTCTACCTTTTCCTGAACTCTCATGTGTCATGCCTAATCAGTGTCAGGCCTGTTACAGAGTATTACAATGTTAGTGTCAAAAGGCTCTTACCACAACAACACCACACTCATTTCAACTCTTAGGCTGCTGACTAAGTGGATGAAACGGACTTGGGGAAGTCTATCATGTGCACTGGTCAATTCAATACACCTAATCACTTACTGATGTAAAATACCTAAAACGGACGTTGCCTCCAAAATGAAGATTTACAGTGTTCTAGATCTGTCATGGGGAGTGTTTGCTGTGTTCTAGTGGGGATTGAGATGGGGAGGCATCATGGGGAGGCAAGCAATTCTGTTCAGCACTCTCCATCTCACTTTGATGAATGACTCTTGGCTTGGTTAATGTACACACGCACACACACACACTAGTGATGCGCGGGTTAACTCATAATCCGCAGTCCCTGTGGATATGCGGGTGGGTTTAGGGTCATGACATATTGTGTGGCTGAATGGCGGGGGGGGGCGACTTACAGTTAGTGAGTGCATACATTTTCATACTGGCCCCCCGTGGGAAACTAACCCACAACCCTGGCGTTGCAAGCGCCATGCTCTACCAACTGAGCTACAGGGGACTACATGTTATTCAATAATTTCATCCAAACTGCTCGCACGCGTCAACAATAGTCTGCGTAGCCAGGCGCTAAAATAGAACTTGGTTCTATTTTAGACACTTAAAGCACTGCAAGTCCCGCCACTCTCCCATCTCCTCATTGGTTTTTAGGAGCAAATAGGTTTCCCCTTTTATCTGTTGATTAATTGTCAGAGTAAAGAACACATGATTTTGTGTGACTTAAAATGGGTCAAAATTCTACAAAGATCCAGCAAAAAAAAAAGGACCTTGTACATTTCAGGTAAAATAACAACCCAGTGTTTATATCCCAGGACAAAAAATAGCTAGTAACAGCAAGCCAGCTAGCTAGCATGAATGTTTTAAATATGTTTTGACCTGTCCCCAACTTAATATCCACTACCGGTCAAATGTTTTAGAACACCTACTCATTCAAGGGTTTTTCTTAATTTTTTACTATTTTCTACATTGTAAAATAATAGTGAAGACATCAAAACTATGAAATAACACATATGGAATCATGTAGTAACCAAAAAAGTGTTAAACAAATCAAAACATATTTTATATTTGAGATTCTTCAAATAGCCACCCTTTGCTTTGATGACAGCTTTGCACACTCTTGGCATTCTCTCAACCAGCTTCATGAGGTAGTCACCTGGAATGCATTTCAATTAACAGGTGTGCCTTGTTAAAAGTTAATTGAGCCAATCAGTTGTGTTGTGACAAGGTAGGGGGGTATACAGAAGATAGCCCTATTTGGTAAATGACCATGTCCACGTTATGGCAAGAACAGCTCAAAGAGGAAACGACAGTCCATCAAATCAAATCAAATGAAATTGTATTTGTCACATACACGTGTTTAGCAGATGTCATAGCGGGTGTAGCTGAATGCTTGTGCCTCTAGCTCCGACAGTGCAGTAATATCTAACAATTTCACAACATATACCCAATACACAACAAAAAAGTAAGGAATGGGATTTAAGAATATATACATATATGGACAAGCAATGACAGAACGGCATGGACTAAGATACAGAAGAATATTATAGAATAGAATGCAGTATATACATATGAGATGAGTAGTGCAAGATATGTAAACATTATTAAAGTGACTAGTGTTCCATTTCTTAAAGTGGCCAGTGATTTCAATAAGCAGCAGCAGCCTCTAATGTGCTAGTGATGGCTATTTAACAGTCTGATGGCCTTGAGATAGAAGTTGCTTTTCATTCTCTCGGTCCCAGCTTTGATGCACCTGTACTGACCTCGCCTTCTGGATGATAGCGGGGTGAACAGGCAGTGGCTCATGTGGTTCATGTCCTTGATTATCTTTTTGGCCTTACTGTGACATCGGGTGCTGTATGGGTCTTGGAGGGCGGGTAGTTTGCCCCCGGTAATGCGTTCGGCAGACCGCACCACCCTCTGGAGAGCCCTGCGGTTGTGGGCGGTGCAGTTGCCATGCCAGGCGGTGATACAGCCCGACAGGATGCTCTCAATTGTGCATCTGCAAAGGTTTGTGAGGGTTTTAGGTGATAAGCCTCCTGAGGTTGAAGAGGCTCTGTTGCGCCTTCTTCACCACACTGTCTGTGTGGGTGGACCGTTTCAGTTTGTCGGTGATGTGTACGCCAAGGAACTTGAAGCTTTCCACCTTCTCCACTGCGGTCCCGTCTATGTGGATAGGGGGGTGCACCCTCTGCTGTTTCCTGAAGTCCATGATCATCTCCTTTGTTTTGTTGATGTTGAGTGAGAGGTTATTTTCCTGGCACCACACTCCCTGAGCCCTCACCTCCTCCCTGTAGGCGGTCTCGTCATTGTTGGTAATCAAGCCTACTACTGTTGTGTCGTCTGCAAACTTGATGATTGAGTTGGAGGCATGCTTGGCCACGCAGTCATGGGTGAACCGGGAGTACAGGAGGAGGCTGAGCACGCATCCTTGTGGGGCCCCAGTGTTGAGGATCAGCAAAGTGGAGATGTTGTTTCCTACATTCACCACCTGGGGGGCGGCCCGTCAGGAAGTCCAGGACCCAGTTGCACAGGGCGGGGTTCAGACCCAGGGCCTCGAGCTTAATGATGAGCTTGGAGGGTACTATGGTGTTGAATGCTGAGCTATAGTCAATGAACAGAATTCTTCCTCTTGTCCAGATGGGATAGGGCAGTGTGCAGTGTGATGGCAATTGCATCGTCTGTGGATCTATTGGGGCGCTAAGCAAATTGAAGTGGGTCTAGGGTGACAGGTAAGGTAGAGGTGATATGATCTTTGACTAGTCTCTCAAATCACTTCATGATGACAGAGGTGAGTGCTACAGGGCGATAGTTGTTTAGTTCAGTTACCTTTGCTTTCTTGGGTACAGGAACAATGGTGGCCCTCTTGAAGCATGTGGGAACAGCAGACTGGGAAAGGGAGATATTGAATATGTCCATGAACACACCAGCCAGCTGGTCTGCGCATGCTCTGAGGACGCGGCTAGGGATGCCGTCTGGGCCGGCAGCCTTGCGGAGGTTAACATGCTTAAATATCTTAATCACGTCGGCCATGGAGAAGGAGAGGCCACAGTCCTTGGTAGTGGTCCTCGTCAGTGGCACTGTGTTATCCTCAAAGCGGGCGAATAAGGTGTTTAGCTTGTCTGGAAGCGAGACGTCGGTGTCGGCTACGTGGTTGGTTTTCTTTTTGTAGTCCGTGATTGTCTGTAGACCCTGCCACATACGTCTCGTGTCTGAGCCGTTGAATTGCGACTCCACTTTGTCTCTATACTGATGTTTTGCCAGTTTAATTGCCTTGCAGAGTGAGTAGCTACACTGTTTGTATTCTGCCATATTCCCAGTCACCTTGCCATGATTTATTTCTTTCAGCATCTTGACAGAATGCAAATGCAAAGTTAGATACCGTCTGTAAAGGTGCTATTTTTATCAGCATCATAAAAGCTGATTGTATTTCATCCACATAAAATATGCATCGAAGCCGAACTGAAATCTTACAAGGAACATGATTTTCACAGCTTTAACAAACGGTCAAATTGATGTCATTTGAAAATGTTGCACAGAAAGTCTTTCCTGTTTTTTGTTGTTGAGTTATTGCATTTTCTCCCCGGTCCCTAAACGTCTTTGCTCTGTGAAAGAAGCAGAGATCACAGAGAAAACTTTACCGATGTCAACTAGATTGAAGCATTAATTCTATCGATTTATGACATTCTGGTGAGCAAGAGTTTATTTAGTCTTCAAGCGCAACATATAATGACAGAAGAGAAGCTGCATGTGTCTAATTATAAACAAGTTGACTAACACATAGCCTACCAAATTGTCGGAATATAAGCACAAACATATCTAAATCAGTCCCCCAAAAAATCCTGCAACGTCTGTCAAAAAATTGTTCCGCAATCTCTGACTGTAGCCTACAGCGCATTTTCCATATTATTGGGTTAGGTTCGGGTTAGGGTCAGGGTCAGGTTAGGGTCAAATTTTCACTTTGTCACATATACAGTGCCCTCAGAAATTATTCACACCCTTTGACTTTTTCCATATTTTGTTGTGTTACAGCCTGGATTTATAATGGGTTAAATTGAGATTTTGTGTCACTGGCCTAAACACAAAACCCAATAATGTCAAAGTGGAATTGTGATTTTATAAATGTTTACAAAAAAAGCTGAAATGTCTTGGGTCAATAAGTATTCAACCCCTTTGTTATGGCAAACCTAAATAAGTTCAGGAGTAAAAATGTGCTTAACATCAGTCAAGCAGTGAATTTCAAACACAGATTAACAGAGTGAAAAGAAGGAAGCCTGTACAGAATACACATTTTCCAAAACATGAAAATAGCCCATATTAATATATGTAGCCTTAGAAATAAGGTTCATGAAATCAATAACTTGCTAACATCAGATACAATTCATGTATTAGCCATTTCTGAGACTCACTTAGATAATTCATTTGATGATACAGCAGTAGCAATACAAGAATATAAAATCTATAGAAGTGACAGAAATGCTTATGGGGAAGGTGTTGCTGTATATATACAGAGCCATATCCCTGTAATGCTTAGAGAAGATCTTATGTCAAGTGTTATTGAAGTGTTGTGGTTGCAGTTTCACTTGCCACATCTACAGCCTTTTCTATTGGTGTGTTGCTATAGGCCACTAAGTGTGAACAGTCAGTATTTAAATAATTTGTGTGAAATGCTTGATAGTGTACAGTGAGGGAAAAAAGTATTTGATCCCCTGCTGATTTTGTACATTAGCCCACTGACAAAGAAATGATCAGTCTATAATTTTAATAGTAGGTTTATTTGAATAGTGAGAGACAGAATAACAACAAAAAAATCCAGAAAAACACATGTCAAAAATGTTATAAATTGATTTGCATTTTAATGAGGGAAATAAGTATTTGACCCCCTCTCAATCAGAAAGATTTCTGGCTCCCAGGTGTCTTTTATACAGGTAACGAGCTGAGATTAGGAGCACACTCTTAAAGGGAGTGCTCCTAATCTCAGCTTGTTACCTGTATAAAAGACACCTGTCCACAGAAGCAATCAATCAATCAGATTCCAAACTCTCCACCATGGCCAAGACCAAAGAGCTCTCCAAGGATGTCAGGGACAAGATTGTAGACCTACACAAGGCTGGAATGGGCTACAATACCATCGGCAAGCAGCTTGGTGAGAAGGTGACAGCAGTTGGTGCGATTATTCGCAAATGGAAGAAACACAAAATAACTGTCAATCTCCCTCGGCCTGGGGCTCCATTCAAGATCTCACCTCGTGGAGTTGCAATGATCATGAGAACGGTGAGGAATCAGCCCAGAACTACACAGGAGGATCTTGTCAATGATCTCAAGGCAGCTGGGACCATAGTCACCAAGAAAACAATTGGTAACACACTACGCCGTGAAGGACTGAAATCTTGCAGCGCCCGCAAGGTCCCCCTGCTCAAGAAAGCACATATACAGGGCCGTCTGAAGTTTGCCAATGAACATCTGAATGATTCAGAGGAGAACTGGATGAAAGTGTTGTGGTCAGATGAGACCAAAATGGAGCTCTTTGGCATCAACTCAACTCGCCGTGTTTGGAGGAGGAGGAATGCTGCCTATGACCCCAAGAACACCATCCCCACTGTCAAACATGGAGGTGGAAACATTATGCTTTGGGGGTGTTTTTCTGCTAAGGGGACAGGACAACTTCACCGCATCAAAGGGACGATGGACGGGGCCATGTACCGTCGAATCTTGGGTGAGAACCTCCTTCCCTCAGCCAGGGCATTGAAAATGGGTCGTGGATGGGTATTCCAGCATGACAATGACCCAAAACACACGGCCAAGGCAACAAAAGAGTGGCTCAAGAAGAAGCACATAAAGGTCCTGGAGTGGCCTAGCCAGTCTTTAGACCTTAATCCCATAGAAAATCTTAATGACTTGGAGAAGCTCTGCAAAGAGGAGTGGGACAAAATCCCTCCTGAGACGTGTGCAAACCTGGTGGCCAACTACAAGAAATGCCTGACCTCTGTGATTGCCAACAAGGGTTTTGCCACCAAGTACTAAGTCATGTTTTGCAGAGGGGTCAAATACTTATTTCCCTCATTAAAATGCAAATCAATGTATAATATTTTTGACATGCATTTTTCTGGATTTTGTTGTTGTTATTCTGTCTCTCACTGTTCAAATAAACCTATCATTAAGATTATAGACTGATCATGTCTTTTTCAGTGGGCAAACGTACAAAATCAGCAGGGGATCAAATGTTTTTTCACTCACTGTATGTGATGTAAACAGAGAGATCTACTTTCTTGGGGACCTGAATATTGACTGGTTTTCGTCAAGCTGTCCGCTCAAGAGGAAGCTTCTTACTGTAACCAGTGCCTGTAATCTGGTTCAGGTTATTAATCAACCTATCAGGGTGTTTACAAACACTACAGGAACAAGATCATCCACATGTATCTATCACATTTTTACTAATACTGTAGAACTTTGTTCTAAAGCTGTATCCGTACACATTGGATGCAGTGATCACAATATAGTGGCTATATCCAGGAAAGCCAAAGTTCCAACAGCTGGGCCTTAAATAGTGTATAAGAGATCATACAAAAGATTTTGCTGTGACTCATATGTGGATGATGTAACAAATATTTGTTGGTCTGATGTGATTAATAAGGAGCAACCAGATGCTGCACTTGATGAATTTATGAAATTGCTTCTTCCAATTATTGATAAACATGCACCTGTTAGGAAACTGACTGTCAGAACTAAGGCTCCATGGATTGATTTTTTAAAACTGTATGGTTGAAAGAGATGGGGCAAAAGGAGTGTCTAATAAGTCTGGCTGCACATCTGACTGTTTGACTTACTGCAAATTGAGAAATGATGTGACTAAACTCAACAAAAAGAAGAAGAAACTGTATTATGAAGCCAAGATCAATGATATAAAGAAAAACTTTGGAGTACATTAAATGAAATTATGGGTAGAAAGACAAATTCAACTCCATCTTTCATTGAATCAGACGGCTTATTCATCACAAAACCATTTGATGTTGCCAATTATTTTAATGATTACTTCATTGGCAAAGTGGGCAAACCTAAGCAGGAAATGCCAACATTGAACAGTGAGCCATCATATTCATGCATAAAAAAACAAATAATGAAAGAAAAGCATTACAAGTTTGAATTTTGTAAAGTTAGTGTGGGAGAGGTGGAAAAATTATTGTTATTATCAATAATGACAAACCTCCTTGCTTAGATGGAAAGCTACTGAGGATGGTAGCTGACTCTATAGCCACACCTATCTGTCATATCTTTAATCTGAGCCTAGAGGAAAGTCTTTGTCCTCAGGCCTGGAGGGAAGCCAAAGTAATTCCGCTACCCAAGAATGGTAAAGCGACCTTTACTGGTTCTAACAGTAGACCTATAAGCTTGCTGCCAGCTCTTAGCAAACTGTTGGAAAAAAATGGTGTTTGACCAAATACAATGCTATTTCTCTGTAAACAAATTAACAACAGACTTTCAACATGCTTATAGGGAAGGGCACTCAACATGTACTGCACTGACACAAATGACTGATGATTGGTTGAAAGAAATTGATAATAAGAAGATTGTGGGAGCTGTACTTTTAGATTTCAGTGCAGCCTTTGATATTATTGACCATAACCTGTTGTTGAAAAAACGTATGTGTTATGGCTTTTCAACCTCTGCCATATTGTGGATTCAGAGCTATCTATCTAATAGAACTCAAATAGTTTTCTTTAATGGAAGCTTCTCTAATGTCAAACATGTAAAGTGTGGTGTACCACAGGGCAGCTCTCTAGACCCTCTACTCTTTTCTATTTTTACCAATGGCCTGCCACTGGCATTAAACAAAACATGTGTGTCCATGTATGCTGATGATTCAACCATATACGCATCAGCAACCACAGCTAATGAAGTCACCGAAACCCTTAACAAAGAGTTGCAGTCTGTTTTGGAATGGGTGGCCACTAATAAACCTGAACATCTCTAAAACTAAGAGCATTGTATTTGGTACAAATCATTCCCTAAGTTCTAGACCTCAGCTGAATCTGGTAATGAATGGTGTGACTGTTGATCAAGTTGAGGAGACTAAATTACTTGGCGTTACCTTAGATTGTAAACTATCATGGTCAAAACATATAGATTCAATGGTTGTAAAGATGGGGAGAGGTCTGTCCGTAATAAAGAGATGCTCTGCTTTTTTGACACCACACTCCAAAAAGCAAGTTCTGCATGCTCTAGTTTTGTCTAATCTTGATTATTGTCCAGTCGTGTGGTCCAGTGCTGCAAGGAAAGACCAAGTTAAGCTGCAGCTGGCCCAAAACAGAGTCATCTTACCAAGATGACATTGAAGGTTCCTGATTAACTTAATTATAGTTTTGACTTAAATCGGCTTTAGAATCTATGGCAAGACTTAAAAATGGCGGTCTAGCAACGATCAACAACCAAGAGCTTGAAGAATAAGAATAATATGCAAATATTGTACAATCCAGGTGTGCTCTTAGAGAGTTACCCAGAAAGACTGAGCTGTAATCGCTGCCAAAGGTGATTCTAGGGGATTGAATACTTATGTAATCAAGATATATTTGTGTTTTATTTTTCATATTCTTTCTTTTACAAATGTTAGAATTTTTCATCTCCACTTTGACATTACAGAGTATTTTGTGTAGATCGTTGACAAAAATGTACAATGAAATCAATTTTAATCCCACCTTGTAACACAACAAAATGTGGAAAAAGTCTAGGGGTGTGAATACTTTCTGAAAGCACTGTAGGCCTAGTCAGTCGGTTGCGGGCGGGTGCGGGTGAACACTTGAAAAATAAAAGGAGAGCCTCACACTCTAGGAGCTCAGATGCAATAATTTAATGGGTGCGGGTGAACAAACAGCTGACCCACGCACCACTAACACACACACACACATTCACTCATTCTTGAGGCTTGACCTGATTGACAGCTTTGTGCACTTGTTATTCTCAGTGAGGTCAATGTGCAAGTTTCCATTAAGTCCTGTCGAGCACTTGACACCTCACAACATGTCAAGCATTATTTAGTGTTTTGTGTGTGTGTGTGTGCGTGGTTGTGGGCATGTGCGTACGTGTGTGTACGAGTGTGTATGTATGAATGTACAGTATACAGTTGAAGTCGGAAGTTTACCTACACTTATGTTGGAGTCATTAAAACTCGTTTTTCAACCACTCCACAAATTTCTTGTTAACAAACTATAGTTTTGGCAAGTCGGTTAGGACATCTACTTTGTGCATGACACAAGTAATTTTTCCAACAATTGTTTACAGACAGATTATTTCACATATAATTCACTGTATCACAATTCCAGTGGGTCAGAGGTTTACATACACTAAGTTGACTGTGCCTTTAAACAGCTTGGAAAATTCCAGAAAATGATGTCATGGCTTTAGAAGCTTCTGATAGGCTAATTGACATAATTTGAGTCAATTGGAGTTGTGGATGTATTTCAAGGCCTACCTTCAAACACAGTGCCTCTTTGCTTGATATCATGGGAAAACCAAAAGAAATCAGCCAAGACCTCAGAAAAAAAATTGTAGACCTCCACAAGTCTGGTTCATCCTTGGGAGCTATTTCCAAACGCCTGAAGGTACCACGTTCATCTGTACAAACAATAGTACACAAGTATAAACACCATGGGACCACGCAGCCGTCATACCGCTCAGGAAGGAGGTGCGTTCTGTCTCCTAGAGATGAACGTACTTTGGTGCAAAAAGTGCAAATCAATCCCAGAACAACAGCAAAGGACCTTGTGAAGATGCTGGAGGAAACAGGTACAAAAGTATCTATATCCACAGTAAAACGAGTCCTATATCGACATAACCTGAAAGGCTGCTCAGCAAGGATGAAGGCACTGCTCCAAAACCGCCATAAAAAAGCCAGTCTACGGTTTGCAACTGCACATTAGGAAAAAGATCGTACTTTTTGGAGAAATGTCCTCTGGTTTGATGAAACAAAAATAGAACTGTTTGGCCATAATGACCATCGTTATCTTTGGAGGAAAAATGGGGACGCTTGCAAGCCGAAGAACACCATCCCAACCGTGAAGCACGGGGGTGGCAGCAGCATGCTGTGGGGATGCCTTGCTGCAGGAGGGACTGGTGCACTTCACAAAATAGATTGCATCATGAGGAAGGAAAATTATGTGGATATATTGAAGCAACATCTCAAGACATCAGTCAGGAAGTTAAAGCTTGGTCGCAAATGGGTCTTCCAAATGGACAATGACCCCAAACATACTTCCAAAGTTGTGCCAAAATGGCTTAAGGACAACAAAGTCAATGTATTGGAGTGGCCATCACAAAGCCCTGACCTCAATCCTATAGAACATTTGTTGGCAGACTGAAAAAGCATGTGCGAGCAATGAGGCCTACAAACCTGACTCCGTTACACCAGCTCTGTCAGGAGGAATGGGCCAAAATTCACCTAACTTATTGTGGGAAGCTTGTGGAAGGCTACCAGAAACGTTTGACCCAAGTTAAAGAATTTAAAGGCAATGCTACCAAATACTAATTGAGTGTATGTAAACTTCTGACCCACTGGGAATGTGATGAAAGAAATAACATTTGAAATAAATAATTCTCTCTACTATTATTCTGACATTTCACATTCTTAAAATAAGGTGGTGATCCTAACTGACCTAAGACAGGGAATTTTTACTAGGATTAAATGTCAGGCGTTGTGAAAAACTGAGTTTAAATGTATTTGGCCAAGGTGTATGTAAACTTCTGACTTCAACTGTATATTATTGTGCCTGGTCTTGATTGACTGTCAAAACCAAACTTCTCTTTTCTTTTAGAAAGACTGTTAATCTCAATACAAACAGTTGATAACCAACCTCTCTTTCTCTCTTCCTCCCTCCTCTCCTTCCTCTCCCATGCAGGTTAAACTGGGCAGTGAAGCACCCAACTCCAAAGTGGTCAAGGTTCCTGGTAGCTTCCGGCGGCGGAGCAGCTTGACCACCACCACAGGCCCTCATCCCGGGGACGAGTGCCGCTTGCTGGACTTTGAGTCGTCGGACCGCCCTCTGGTGGTAAACTTCGGCTCGGCCACCTGACCCCCCTTCATCAGCCACCTGCCCGCCTTCCGGCGGCTGGTGGAGGAGTTCTCAGACGTGGCCGACTTTTTGCTGGTCTACATCGACGAGGCGCACCCCTCGGACGGCTGGGTGGCGCCCGCCATGGGCCCGCGCTCCTTCGAGGTCAGGAAACACCAGTCACTCGAGGAGAGGGTGGTGGCGGCCAAGAAGCTGATTGAGTCCTTCAGCCTGCCATCTCAGTGCCAGCTGGTGGCCGACTGTATGGACAACAATGCTAATGTGGCCTACGGCGTGTCCAATGAGAGGGTGTGCATCGTGCAGAGGAGGAAGATCGCCTACCTAGGAGGGAAGGGACCCTTTTTCTACAACCTGAAGGATGTGAGGCAGTATCTGGAACAGAGCTCGGGCAAGAGATAGTGCCAGACAGAGAGGAAGAGATGCCTCTAGTTCTATGAACAACTGAACGGCTGAAAAAGAGAAAGAGAGAACATTTATTTTTGTATAAAAGGAGATTAAAAGGGAGGTGAGGTGCTTTCAAAACTGGACAGGCAACGCTCAGAACAGAACATGTCACAGGTTCTAAGGTTCCGAAGTTCCAAATCTCATGAACTTCCTTTCTGGAAGGAGACCAACTTTCCACTAGAACACAACAGAACAGAACCAATAGACTTAAGAGCATGGACTGATGCTCTGCTACCTATGTTAGTAGGTTGACTAAAAGAAGAGACTGAAAAGGTTAACCGCTGACACGCTTTATCAATACCTTCATCCCCATTTGCTAATCTTGAATAAGTTCTCTAGTTACAGTCCACATTAGCTTCTAACCTGGCAACTTTCAAAAATGAAAACCAAATTACTGAACAGAGTAGAAAGCACAAGTACCCAACTATATATAAATATATAAAATATTATATTAATTTATTTATGTGGTTTTTAATGCTGATGTTTGTTTTTACACCATGGTAATATTTTGTATGCCGATGCACTTGTAAAGTTTTTTATTTAAGAAGACAGTGTGTCATACTCCCCTTCTGTCTGTATGAGGGGGTGTTACAACACTATTCATAACCACATTAGAGTAGACTGCTTAGAACCATCTAGACTCAGACACTTCCTAGTACATCCTTCATGTTACAACACCACCTAGAAAACAGAGGTTAGCGCTGTATCGATCTCCTCCATATTGTCGTTTTAACCTGACAGACGATGCGAGAGGTAGAGAAGGAGAGAGGGAGGAAAGTGAGCCGGAGAGCAAAGCACAGTATCAAGAGCATGTTAGCCAGAAACAGAGGCAGAATGTGTACTGTAGTTAGCACCAAGGCTACGTAGCTAGCTAGCTGTAATCCCAGGGCTACTTGCTGTTGGTGATTGTTTGTGTTAGCGATGTTGGTTAGCGATGAGGCAGGGGTGTACAGAGATGTAATGGGTTGAGGGAGATGGCCATGTCTCCAAGACCTGAGGTGAGTTTCCTGAAAGCTTTATGGCTAACGTGGTACTTAATTTCTCTTGACAACCCAGACATACGCCACGTGTAGAACATCAAACATTAAATGTACAATTGGTGCTCTCATGGTTGAGTTGTCAAGATAAACAAAGTGCCTCATTCACCATGAAGCTTTTGGGACACTGAGCTCTAAGGTGCGTGGCAGGAGTTGAGACGCTACGGACAGGTGGTGTCTAGATGGCTTAAGAAGGTATTTCAGAAGGGGTGTGTGTCAGTTGTATGGTGTGATGTGACTGAAGAGGTTTTTAGTTGTCCATGGGACAGACAGGCAGACAGACAGACATTTGGTTTGGGTCAAGACGGGGCTGGTGTGAGAATGAAAACCACTGACTAAAGGGTTACTGACTCTGTTTGTGGTCGGATGACAGACCTCACCTCCCTGACGTAGACTCAAACCAACACGTCTTTTAACAACATCAAACCATCCAACATTCGCAAACAATTTCTAGGAAAGGTCCATAAACCCCCCCCCGTCTTCATCCATATGATGCTATCTCAATCCTGTGTAGTGCTGCTTTTCTAAAAATACAGGAGAGTAGAGGAGGGACAGAAAGTCAAATAAAGTTGTTGCCGCTGACTGTTATTTGCTACTCTGTGATTTGTGATTTCTTTCTGTGTGAGTGCTGATGGTGTGTATGTGAGAGAGAGAGAGAGAGAGAGAGAGAGAGAGAGAGAGAGAGACTGAAAGAATAGAACTGTCCAAAGCAGCTGTTTTTTTTATCTCAATATTGAATCCTTTCTGGGTAACAATTAAGTACCTTACTGTAATTGTTTTCAATAAAATAAAATAAAAGTAACAGAAATAGCTTCTTAGCAAATAGCAATTTCTCAATCAAGAATTTTGCTAGGACTTTCTAGTAGTGGTGGAGTGGGGAGGGGAAAACTCAAAACTAGCTGTTATTGGATTCGGCTATTTCAGCCACACCCGTTGCTAACAGGTGTATAAAATCGAGCACACAGCCATGCACTCCATAGACAAACATTGGCAGTAGAATGACCCGTACTGAAGAGCTCAGTGACTTTCAACATGGCACCGTCATAGGATGTTACCTTTCCAACAAGTCAGTTCGTGAAATTTCTGCCCTGCTAGAGCTGTCCCGGTCAACTGTAAGTGATGTTATTGTGAAGTAGAAACGTCTAGGAACAACAACGGCTCAGCCGTGAAGTGGTAGGCCACACAAGCTCACAGAACGGGACCGCATAGTGCTGAAGCGCATAACAATTGTCTGCGCGTAACAATCTTCTGTCCTCGGTTGCAACACCCACCACTGAGTTCCAAACTGCCTCTGGAAGCAACGTCAGCACACAAGCATAACATCACCATGTGCAATGCCAAGCGTCGGCTGGAGTGGTGTAAAGCTCGCCGCCATTGGACTCTGGAGCAGTGAAAACGCATTCTCTGGAGTGATGAATCACACTTCACCATCTGGCAGTCCGACGGACGAATCAGGGTTTGGCGCATGCCAGGAAAACGCTACCTGCCCGAATGCATAGTGCCAACTGTACATTTTGGTGGAGGAGGAATAATGGTCTGGGGCTGTTTTTCATGGTTCGGGCTAGGCCCCTTAGTTCCAGTGAAGGGAAATCTTAACGTTACAGCATACAATGACATTCTAGACGATTCTGTGCTTCCAACTTTGTGGCAACAGTTTGCGGAAGGCCCTTTCCTGTTTCAGCCTGACATAGCCCCCGTGCACAAAGCAAGGTCCATGCAGAAATGGTTAGTCGAGATCATTGTGGCCTGCTCAGAACCCTGACCTCAACCCCATCGAACACCTTTAGGATAAATTGGAACGCCGACTGCGAGCCAGGCCTAATTGCCCAACATCTGTACCCGACCTCACTAATGCTCTTATGGTTGAAAGGAAGCAAGTCCCCGCAGCAATGTTCCAACATCTAGTGGAAAGCCTTCCCAGAAGAGTGGAGGCTGTTATAGCAGAAAAGGGGGGGACCAACTCCATATTAATACCCATGATTTTGGAATGAGATGTTTGATGAGTAGACTTTTGGCCATGTAGTGTACATATAATGCAGGAAAATCACGTTTCGCACTGGGCCTTTAAACGAAAGCCCTCTGTACGTGTGCACACGTGCGTGCCTATGCACCCGACGACCCTTCTCGAAACAAAACAAAGAGATACACATGCAGTGGGGGAAAGACGCCTCAAACACGACAGCTTTGGTTATGGTCCACAATAGCGAAGCCACAGGCGGGTTGGAGACTGAGCGCCTGTGTTTTCATTTCCGAGAGGAGCGTGTCTCCAGACACACTCTCTATGACAGGTTATAACATGTGTTTACTTGTGGCCGTAGGGTTGGCGTGAAACCAAGCCCCCTGGCTGAACTTGTTCTCCGGCGAGCCAGCCAAATACTGCACAGAATAGCACTGACGTCAGGGAGAGGTGGATAGAGGGGGAAGGGAAAGGGGGAGGAAAGGGGGGAGGGGTGAGGCGGAGGAGGAAATGGAGGTTAGGAAATGGGGAGACATGTAGAGGAGGCTAGGAGGAGAGGTAAAGAGGAAGAGGGGGGAAATAGAAGGAGGTGAAGGAGAATGAGAAGTAATAAAAGAAAGAGGGAGTATGTTTTCAGCTGGTCCATTGCTGTGGTGTGAAACAGGACCTGTTGTTGTGGTCATCTGGATGAGGGCCCTCCGAGCAGAACACATTGAAGGAGTGTGTGTGTGTGTGTGTGTACTGGGTTTATACAAGATACCCAAAGCAGCACCCCTCTTTAACTGGTGCCCTCATTATCCTGACACACACGCACACACATACAAGCTGAGTAGGGATCCTGTTTATGACATAATGAGAGTGTGAATGGTCAGGAATGGCCATCACTTTCTCTAATGGTCAGATTTATGATCACAATCCTCCTACATTCTTCCCTTTATGTTGAGTGAGTGTTTATGATCAGGAATCCCTGCGCTCAACCCAGATTGTCATAAGACAAAGTACCGTGGCCTGGCAAGACCTGGGTTCAAATACTATCTGAAATCAAGTGGTCTATTTGGGCTTGATTGGTCTTGCATGGCACAATGAAACCAATAGCTTAGTAGCAGGAAGTAGCAAAAGTGGAAACCCGCATTCCAGGCCAACTAAAGCAAACACTGTTTGAAAGATTTAAAATATAATTTAAACCCACGCATGCCTGTCACCCAATGGCCTGACCCAGAGGGAGTAAAGCAAGACGACTGCTAGTGGAGTGACCACTGAAGTATGTTTGACGCCAATCCCCTTAAAATAGACCATCTGACCGTAAAGGGGAAATCCGGGATTGGTACATTCTTTAAAAAATTTTTTAAATCAATGATACAGTATACAGTCATGGACTGTTGAAGAGTATAACTTAGAAATGCCTCAGGAGCCTAGTTCAACTGTCGTAAGCCATCAGAACCCCAAAATATAAGCCTGTTTTATTCCATTGTTTGTTAACAAACACGGTTAAGATTCCAAAAATGGTTAATACTATAATTGTTTTGGGTCTCATGGATGGTCAGTCTTTGCATCCATAGCTCCGTCTATGAGTTTGAGAGTGTTTAGATTTCTCCAGCCTCATCCCTCAGCTGTTTACCAAAACAAGTGGTGGGGTGCCTGCTTTGTTGTTTTAAACCAAACCTCATACCATAAACACATACAGTAGCTACCTTGAACTACTTTAATAACTAACCTTAACAACCCTTCTAAACTTCCTGTACCGAAGCCCAGCTCAGGCCTACCAGGAGACCGGTTTTTGGACAGAAGCTTCTTGAATATATTTGACATTTTAGTCATTTAGCAGACGCTCTTATCCAGAGCGACTTACAGTTAGTGAGTGCATACATTTTTCATACTGGCCCCCCGTGGGAAACAAACCCACAACCCTGGCGTTGCAAGCGCCATGCTCTACCAACTGAGCTAAGAAGCTTGACCTGATT